AACTGCTAGACCAGTTGTATAAGTAGTGCTGCTAAAATTACTGTCATAACTAGAACTACTACTACTACTACTACTACCACTACCACTACTACTACTACTACTACTACCACTACCACTACCACTACCACTACTACTACCACTACTACTACTACTACTACTACTACTACTACTACTACTACTACTACTACTACTACTACTACTACTACTACTACTACTACTACTACTATCACTACCAATACCACTACTACTATTAATACTAAAAGGAGTTCATTGGGATTCCTTATGTTGTCTGTGTTTTTTAGGGGGGTTACATTAAACTGGAATTAATTTACATCTTACAGTAATACAATACACACACCCTTTTTTATGGATATCCCAACATTCCCATGTCTTGTAAAAGGGCCATTTTGATATCCAATTTTCTTGCAATCCCGCTAAACAAAAGCAAAAAATAAGAAAAACGATTATTCATTGGTGTAAATGACAAAATATTGCATTTCTCTGTCACATTGAAATAAACAGAGGACTGTTTTCAATATACTACATATCAGGGCTGCACTATATTAGAAAAAAGGACATTGCAATTTGAAAAGTGACAGCAATAATTAAAAAATAATTCAACTTATTCAAAGTTTTTGCATTATAAAGTAGAATGTAACTGTGTGCCCTGAGCAGCAGAAGAATAACCCCCCAATCAGTGCAGACACTATTGATGGAGGTGGCTGATTATCCTGCTGAGGCTGAAAGGCTGATGAGGATGATTACAATTATAATGCTGATGAATCTGCAAAGTCTCTGCGGTGATTGGGAGGTGGAGGGGGCTCGTGTCACATCACCATGAACACACTACAGACAGAGAGAGAATCATATTTAAAGCGAGAGCAGCAAGATGATAGGCTCACAATGTAGGTGTGTTGTTATGCTGCTGGATAGATGTGAGCAGTTCATAATCATGATTGACAGCTGTAGACAATGACAGCAGAGGAAATGATGAGTTGGCATGTGTGAGAGGAGTGAATGGCAGGATATATGAGAAATAAAACAGTGGCCTGAGCATGCAACATAATAGTTCCTCAACTGAACTCAAGCCTGAACTTTATTACTATAACTGCTACTACAGTAGGTCTACAACTTCTGCTACCACTATCAGTGCTTTGACAACTAGTACTGCTACTACTTTCCCACATCAACAACTGGTACTACTGCAACGACTGTTGTTAAGGAATATGTCACCGTTTTCTCACACCAATTCAGTTTCATTGTGTCGAAGGATCATGCTTTGGCTACAGAGACAATACTTTTTATCAGGATGAATTCCCTTTTGGTCCTATAAACAATGTATGTGTAACAATATGACTGCAGTTTTGACATTGCAAACGAGGCAGCATTAAACATCAAACTTATATATTTTTTATGTGTGCATTCAAAGGTGGGCGCGATAAGAGAGGAGGACCGATCGTGACGTTTCCTGCTAGAAGTAACCACGACCGAATAAAACAGGAAGACCTGAGGAGGCTGGTGACCTACCTGTCTACTGTTCCCAGGTATACACACACACACACACACACACACACACACACACACACACACACACACACACACACACACACACACACACACACACACACACACACACACACACACACACACACACACACACACACACACACACACACACACACACACACACTGCTACATATAGCATGATAGATGATAGATTTCATCATGTTCCCAGCTTTCATGTATCGCCTTGTTATCAATCCTTCTATTTAGGACAACAACATTTAGCGAACTAGACTTGTTAGCAGGGAGAGGTGCAGGGTGGGGTGTGTGTGTGTGTGTGTGTGTGTGTGTGTGTGTGTGTGTGTGTGTGTGTGTGTGTGTGTGTGTGTGTGTGTGTGTGTGTGGAATGGCTCAGTGGTGTCCGCGCTGAGAAATCAAACGCTCCTTTCTTCCTCATCACAGCAGCAGACTGAGAGCAGCGTTTGATTTGCATCAGCATGAAAGCTACAGTGTTTGCAGCAGGCAGCGGCGAGAGTGTCACACTTCACTTCAAGTCCATTTATTTCACAGTTTGAGGATGTCGCAATGAATGAGCTGCTCTACAGAAAAACTGTTTAATAATCTCTCACAATCCATGCCCTGTGGCTTTCGGAATATAAAAGAAAAAGTAAAAACATACAATCTTTGGTCCGTTATCTTGCTAAATTAGCAGAGTGACATTTAGTGAGGGAGAGTGTCCTTGAATGCAACAACAGGGGGAGTTTTTAATCTGGTAAGGGCTGGCGATAGTATAATATACTGTATATCATCGACACAATGTAAAATGTCTATCGTATATATTCTTCTACTTGTTTCTATCACGACTAGACTAGGCTTATATTCATTTATGTTTTCACATAAAAGGTCATCTTGCACTAAAGTTCTTAAAATGAGAAGATACTCTGTATTAGATCTTCTTAATCTACTTAATACTAAATCTACTAAAATATGTAGTTGCTAAATCATGTATGGTTTGTGTTTATGTATTGTTATCAAAATAGGAAATGACCTATTAAATGTGGCCACATTACGCATCCCTGGGAACTGCACACAGTCTGCATGTTACCACATTTACCTGTCTGCCTAAAGCACAGTGTGCTTAAAATTGGGCGAGCCCAAAATCTTATCATCTGGTCCCAATCAGCCGCGCTCTGATTCCTCCTGCTTATCGAGCTGCTGTTTCCATGGTGACGAGAGAAGTTTGTGCTTCCCCGAGGCCGAACTACAATGGATGTGCTTTTGTTGAATTTTTAATAATAGAGGTTGGGTGTAAGTGTGTGTGAAGGTGAGGTTATTTCAGTATATTTTTACTCTCCAATCAGTGAGCAGCTGCATTTAAGGTCATTAGACTCCAGTATACACAGCTGGCTCTCTGCACTGGTTTCACAGCGGCTACTGCTCACCAGTTTATGAGAGTTGTCTAATCACATGTCCAATCACACAATATTTTGATTTCACTTTATTTAAATTAAACTTATAGCGTTGTATTTTAAAATCAAGCCTTTATTTTGAATGTTTTTGTTTCCGAATGTACAGACAATTTACAGCCTACAGTATGTTATGTGTTGCCTACACTGCACAGCCCACATGTACACATCACTGAACATGCCCCGCTAAATCACCACCTGGAAGTCATTCTGGTGTCTCCATAATAACATTTATTTACATATGTGAATGTGACCCAAGACCAATGTAGAAATATGTATTTCAGTGTTTTTTTATCTTACTTTCCGGATAATCATCTGATCTGACCCACATTTAGCCAAAACTAAAACTTAATTAATTTGACGAGCTGATGTAAGTGTTAAAGGGATAGTGTAACATTAAGGGAAGTATGCTTGTTGAGATGAGAAATACAGCTCCCATATCTGTCTTGTACATTTAAGGCTAATGAAAGTGTATAGTTGGCTTAGTTAGGCACAGAAATTTAAAAAGTGGAGACCTCAGGGAATCAGTTATTCAGGTCTTAAAAAATTCATAATTCTCATCAAAAGGCATATTTAAAAAAGAAAAATACTGCCTCATTTAGGATCAGTACAGTCTATTCCTTAGACTTCTTTCTTTTAATAATGAGTCTGATGTAAGAGTCAGACAAGAATTAAGCAAGCTTTCATTTAACTAATTTCTCTGTTTATGATTTTAAAAGTCATCTCCCATTTCCTCTTACCTCTCCATTGTCTTCCTCCCTGTCCACCCTGTCTCTCTCCTCAGTGAGGATGTATGTAAACGTGGTTTCACCGTCATCATCGACATGCGTGGTTCTAAGTGGGAGCTGATCAAGCCTCTGCTGAAGACCCTGCAGGAGTTTTTCCCCGCTGAGATCTGTGTGGCGCTCATCATCAAGCCGGACAACTTCTGGCAGAAACAGAAGACCAATTTTGGCAGTGCGAAGTTCTCGTTTGAGGTCAGCGGGTGTTCAATGTTTTCTTTCATCCAATCTCAATTCAGATTAGATGTTTCTAGACAAAACCAATGTTTATCTTATATAGTCCTAACTGTGGAAGGATTGAGTGCTAAAGCAGGAGTTAAAATAAATCTCGGTGGTATCATAACTTATCTATTTGCTTCTGGTTAGCACTACTTCTCATATGATGCCTCATTTTAATGCAGCCATTTTTTTTTAAATGCAGATCCCTGTCGATCTTCCAAAAAATATACAAAGATTTTCTGGTTTTATCCAGATTTGTGTTTACATTGTCTGGATGTGTAGAAAATAAGTAAGTAGATATGTTCTGACTACTACTAATGGTTCCCCTCATTTAAGCAGATTAGTTTAGTGGATTTGCTAAAGGTTACCTTTTCTACTTCATGGGGTCACTGGTACATATGACACAAACCTGGATGATCTGTCACTGCTAAAAACAACATGCATTTTTATATTTCTCTTGATTTGTTGTTTGTCTGTATCAGACCAGCATGGTGTCAGTTGAAGGTCTGTCTAAGCTGGTGGACCCCTCCCAGCTGACGGACGACTTTGAAGGCTCTCTGGACTACAACCATGATGAGTGGATGGAGCTGAGAGTCTCCCTGGAGGAGTTCATCTCCAACGCTGCTCACCTGCTGTCCCGTCTGGAAGACCTGCAGGTGGGGGGGGGACAGATACATGGGCAGATGAATAAAGGGTCAATCAGGGGAAAGATGGATGAATAGTCGGATGGTTTGAAGTAGGGCTACTCAATTAATCGTATTTTAATCGTATTTGAATCGCGATTATGGCTTGCAACGATTACGAAAACAACGTAATCGAAATAAAACGATTATTTTTTCATTATTATTATTACTTTTTTTTTTATA